CAGTGAGCATCTAATTCTGTCTTGGGACCAAAGGGGGTGCTCCTAACATATGATGATGATGATGATGATGATGATGATGATGATGATGATGATGATGATTCAATATAAGAAAGGTACTCCAGGAGCTCAGCTAGTGCCATTAAGACTGAAGGGTGTACTACTACTGCTCATTCAAAAAAAAAAAAAAAATCACTGCCATTTTTGCATCCTATTTCAACATCTCCAAAAGAACAGCACTGAAGTTGATAAACCTATCTGGACCATATCACTTCAGACTGCAGTTGGAGGCTTAGGTAATTCAATGCTTCTCCATACCAAAAAGGAAAAAGAAAAAGAAAAAAATCCTAGAAAACTAGTAAAGCTAAAACAGAGCTAATAAAGCTAAAACCTATCTCCAAGCTAGTGGAAGTGCCAGCTAGACATCAAGTGTAGTAACATGGAATCCAAAGTAGTACAGTCCAGGCACAGGTTTGATTCAGCTTCTCAGGCACGCATCTGTATGGGCCTTTTTCAGGGTCTGGGCATATATACTAAGATGGTGGCTCACAGTTTGTTCTTCATGGGAAAGAGAAATCGAAATGGGGTGGAGCCAACACCACTGTCAGCAGGTCCCAATATGAAATGCTATAGTTCATTGTGCTTTCCAAACTGGTATAGCCTCAGAAATAGAGAAACCAAGGTTTGAGCAGCCAAAAATGGAAATCTTTATTACTCCAGATTCATATAAATAGGCAACCAAAGTACCCAGTCTTTTTATTTTGAGGATATCCCTTAGCCTGCAATCAGGAGTGTCTAGAATTCTTGCTTGAATTAAGCACTAGATTTATTATAAATGCTAAGGTGCACACATGCAACACAACAAAACACGGGTATCTAGTCCCATTCTGATGTAGCTCACATCTTGCTACATTAGAAAATAGTTACTGAGTTTGGGTCATACACACTGTATACTAAGGCGACTCCTTGAATCCTTTATAAATATTTTAAATCTTATTGTCTGAAGAACAAGTAATTTCCCTTCCTGTTAGAAGAGCTACTTATAACATAGTGCAGTGCCAAGTAGCAATTAAATGATGTGATTTGGCAGAAAGCTAAATAATTAAATAATCTTCTTTCTGGATATCTCTAGACACTCTGGAATATAGAAATGTACCGTGAGAGCAATATATAGATCGATATACCATGAAGCTAAATTAGGATTGAACTGGGGCCTATTTGCATATGATAATGTATTCCACTTCCACTAAAACAGTATCAGAATATTCAAAGCATAAAAACTGACAAGGTGAAAATAAATCTTGCATGGATGTATCCAGCTCTCAGGCCTACAATTTCCAATTTTAATGCTGGCCTCATAGCTTTCACCTGTGGAAGTATAGGAAGAAATAAGAGAGATTGCTTTCTGTTTTTTTATGCAGTACAAAAGAAAAAAAGGGTCTGGACCATATGTTCTTGATCTATTTTTGGAAAATGCTATAAAACATGAGCTACCCATAACTAGTTCCCTAGGGAGTGATATTGTAGCAATAAATGTTCATGCTCTAGAACTGATGGCTGTGCTACATGAAGAAAGCAAAATCTACCTGTAAAACAGAAAAGGAAAAATCTTCCCCTACATCTGATTAAGACTCTTCTAGCATAGTGTTCTACATGTGGTAACATAGACATTCTGTGTAAGCACCATGACATCGCTTTCAGTCCCTCTGTCTCGACCTGGTTGCTATAAATCAGCCTAGGCTGTGAGTAATGCTGAAGGAGCTAAATGTTCAGAATTTGTGTCTGTCTGTTTTATTAGCTAGCCTAGAGTAAACTGGGGGCTATCGTTCAATGTCAGGTTCAATACCCAATGACCCAATACATTAAAATTGTGGCAGCCACAAATCAAGAGCATAATGAAGTCTGAGAAGTGGTCCATGCTGATTTATTAGGACATCTGTCTGACTATAGACAATCTAGTGTTGGCCTTGGATTGTATCAGCTATTCCCATGGACTTCCACATATCAGAGACTCCTCTTTTTAAAAAATGTATGATAATGTGAAAGAGAATCATGGAGGAGGAGGAGGAGGAGGAGGAGGTAGAAGAGAATCACAATATTGTACTCTGAAATGGTTAAAACTAAGCATTATGTATTTAAAAAGAATTATTAACTGTGGTGCAAATATGAAGCAGAAATGGCTGGAATTGTGATTTGAAATATAGTTTATAGATGAAAATCAAGACAATGAAATATTTAGTGGTAGGAAAATGGTCTACTTTTGTTAACATTATGATAAAAACTATAATAAAATATCAATAAATACAAGTCTTTATGTCATCATATTTTCTGTTTATTTCAGAATTACACACACACACACACAGACATGTAAAAGCATCTCCTTATAATTATTCCCAAATTCTAATTCATAAAATTTTAAATTGGGAAACTGAAAAGGATGTACATTCAACAAAAGTTAGTGTAATTTATTTGCCTACAACTATTCCTCTCTTTCTTACTGATCCATTATTATATATTCATTAACTAATCTGTAAATCAAACAACATGGTCATGTTATCTTTATTCATACGTAAATTTTGTGTCATGTTACTCTGTAATATACTTCCTTTTCTAGTTTAGTTTTTTATCTAAACTAGACTTTGTCTCAAACTTATGCTGCTGAGAAATAAAGCTGCTGAGTCAGGAGAATGAGTTGCAAAAAACAGAGGTTCCAGATCAGAGCTTCAACACTTCTCTCAGATGAACAACCAGAAACATCTACACTAAAGGCTTTCCAATGAGTGCAACCCCTGAGCTGGGCACTACAGAGAGATCAAAGTCCTCATCCCAGTGAGCTTGCTGCTCTGTTCAAGCCTGCTTACCATGGCAGGCACAGCAGCCAAGAAAATTATGGCTGTTCAAGGATAGGTGGGAACTCCTACTCTACTCTCCAGCAAGAGGAAGGGACCTAGGAAGGGCAGTCAAGTATAATCAGTCACTGGATGAAATTATCCATTATCCAATTATCAAGATCTGTACAGACTACTGACAGATATGGTCCTCTATGCTCCCCCCCCCACCCCCACCACACACACACACCATGTGTCTTAATTTCAGTTTTCAGCCTGCTAGCGGGTTCTCAGTTCCTGTGCCTGTCAGTCCCCTAATCTTGTTATCAGTTCTATGTGACTTCCTCCATAGTTCTTGTAGGACTTGAGATCATCAGTTTCCCAAAGCATTGAAACTTTTGTCACTGTTGCTAGTCCACCATATCTGGGCTTCTGTAATACACACTGTATCTAACCATCCCAGCAAAGAATATTATTGTGTCACTGAAGTTAGAAGTAAGATGCAATGGAATGAGAGATTTAAGAAGGTGAAGGGTGGAGTTGTAATCTCACCTATCCAACAGCAAGGCTCACTGAATATAATGTCTTCTGACTAAAAATTTGTGGAACTGTACTGTAAGAAAGCAGTGCTGCTCAGAGTTCCCACAAATAAATCCAGCTGAACACAATGGAGGCTTATTTTTGAGTAAATATGTATGGAATTCAATTGAAAAACTCTTTTTTCAAAATTTACATTTATATTTCTGAAATGTGTGACTTTGAAAGGAAAAAAACAATCAAATATTTCATGCCAAATGATGAACTGTGACAGTTAGGATTGCTCTGTCCTTCATAAGCTGCTGAATTCAGATAAAGTTATCCCAGGAATTATTTCCACTTCTGGATCAATAAAAAGGTAGAGAAAAGCTATTTTAGAAACAAGTAAAACCAATTGTTCTGACAACTTCATCTACTAATCATTACAAGAAGCAAGAAAAACTTTAATATTAGCTGACAATTTCATTTAAATCAAAGGGGTAGAATATTCTTAAATCTACTTGATAATCATTCATTATGGACTTCAGGCACAGCTCCAACCATGTGCTTATGTAAATATTTGAATATGTCATAAAACCATATTCTAGTTAGTTGTATATACTGAAGGTTGCTCAAGTGAGCTGACCTCTGATCATAAGTGTCAAAAGTTAATGATCATTTGCAAATTAAAAATCCAAGGTAGAGTAAAAATTGAGATACTATTTCTGGATACAAAAAGCATTTTCCTGAAAAAGCACAGCAGCCAGGACACTTCAGAAGCATAGTGCATTAAATCTTCTTTTCAGTATCACTTACAAAATAGAATTTACATGGGTGATATGTAATAGCCATTTTGAAACGTCGTGCTTGTCTGTATCAACTGGTAAGCTTGGTTTTTCAGTGTAACACTGAAGGGGGTATGGGGGAGTTAACATTTTGGCCACTATTCTATACAACACACTTTCTTCCATTCTACTCCAAAGCTCTCTTATGAGTGAATTTGCTATCTTTTCCTATGTGACTGACAGCTGACTAATAAGGAAAGTAAAATAGCAGGCATAACAAAGTCAGAATAACATAGCATGAAGCAGTTTACTCAAATTTATTCTGATACAATGTGCATACACATACAGCTTTAAATGAACGTATTGTTTGTGAAACTACCAAAATAATGTGTAGAATCCAAACCAATGTAAAATTTCACTGGTGAATTAACAGAAATGTAGGTAAAGCTGCCATATATTCCAGGTGATCACATGTTGAAAGCTGTGAATGTGAGCAAAGCAATCTGTGCAACAAGTACCACAGGAAAATTACATTGCAATTTACAATGCAAATAAAAATAACAACTATCATAACCCAAAAGTCTCATGAGGCCAACCTAACAATGTATTACAGTTTACAATCCAACAACAGAACTTATAAAGTGACATTCTCAGCAGAGTAGATTGATAGTATATCAGCACCTTCCATTATATGTGAATTTAAGAACAAAGGCAAGGACAGGTCATAATGGCTGCTAAGGCTTCACCCCTGTATACATTTGGTTCAGAGTAAGTCTCATTGAAATCAGTGACACTTTTCTATGAATGAATACAAAAAGGATCACCTTACCTAGATGAATACCATTGCCCTGCTAGATGAACAAATTGCACTTACCTCCAGACATTCCAGCGTTGCTGTTCCAGTTGAATCAGTAAGTGGTCAATGTACTTATTGGAATCCATATATTCCTTTGAGAAAGAAAAACAATAAATTAATCAATCACAGAAAGTAGAATGAATGAAAGATCAAGAAGCTCCTGGAGCCACCATTCCCATATATTTGGAGTCCTGTACCTGCGTTATAGCTAAAACAAAAAGGCCAGGATATCCCAGCATGTATCTCTCTTGTTATATATAATTTGGCCATGAAAAGAACATTAATTTTAAAAATCTACACATATGCTCAATGTAAAGCAAATAAGGATCACTGTGACTTTGAAAATGGCCATACCTTGTTATGATGTAACACTTCATATTTTACTTGAAGAAAAGAAAAATATTTTTGTAAGTTAATTATAACACTGCAGTCTCCTTTTATATAATTATTGTTAAAACTATTGAAAAATGAGAAGAAAGAATAGTAAAACTAGTAAAGAAAATTCTGGCTATGCAAATATGCCATCTCATGACAGCATTTTGCTGGTGTTTTATGTATTCACCAAAATACCAAAGATTTTCCCTATATAAGAATATACATATTTGTGCACTTGGGATGTTTGTCAGCCATTATTATTGACAGAGAAGGTGTGTGATTGTGGAACTGTGTGTAGTACAATGGCAGGTCTTTGTTCAGCTATTTCTCCTTGTAATTGAAGAGTGCAAGACAGAAGTGTCATGAATTAAACAGCAGGACTATATCTCTTTTTAACATGAAGATATACATTACAAAAGAACCACCATCCTATTTCATGTATGCTGGTCACATTTAGTTTTTCTAGCATTTTTCAGGATCTGTTTGGTAACCCCTGCTGTTTTATAAGAGATTTGGAAACAAAACCAGATGTCCTCATGCCAAAACACCATAAGAAAACATTTACAGGGAAACAGAATATCTCTCTAGTCTTCTTTGGAAGTCTTAATTTTATATCGATATATATTTTCTATTTTATACATTGTCTTCTGTCAACTTAGCATTCTTTGATTTTGACTTTGATTTAGGATAAGAACATAGCATAGAATGGGCCAAATGTTGCAAGTCAGTTGGAAGAGTATAATTAGAAAGATGTCTATAATTATAAAAATAACGAAGGGCTGTAGCATGTTTTATACTTGTAGTTATTTTGCTGCACTAATGAAATTGGTATAGTGGGTTTTCTGAAGTTATCTGGAATTAACGTGAAAATTAAACATTCTATGCAAAAACATATATTCTCTTTTAGGGTAGTTTTGAGTATCTTTAATAATTGTAGCTTCATTCATTTCTTAGAAAACAGCAGAGAGATGTCCTACTGTGCTCAGCTATTCCACATTTATACCACTGTTGCTAATATAATCACTTAATGCAGGATTTTTGTTCTGTTGCTTGTTATGCAAACCCACTAAGTGGGTGATGAGATGTAGCAAAAACCGATAAGAGTACTTTTTCAAAAGAGGATTAGATGAATGTATTGAAAATGAACCCTAGGACTTAGATCTCTTGTTAGGAGTATCTGTAACACTGAACTGCCAGAAAGTGATTTCAGGAGGGAAAGGGGGACCAGAGGGCAAAATTAGATGTGTCACAGGGTTAGTTCTTTTTGTTTTTTTTAAATAGAGGAAAGAGAAGGTATTTTGACTATCAAAGCTTTGGCTCCAAACATGCTAGAATGTTTTAAAACTCCCGAGAGAACCTTCCATAGCTTAGCAATCACTTTCCTCTAACTCCATGTTGCAAATAGGTAAGATGCAATAAAATTTGGAATTGCATTCACTTTGAGCTTCCCCTCAAGCAATTGAACCATCCATTTGGATCACCACTGGTAGCTGCACACATTAGGGCTGGTATGACAATTAAAACCCCAGACCTTTAGAAGACAGTTCTGTGTTAGCAGTTCTGGGAGAGGACTCTGTAACAGAAAGGTCTCATGAGGCTTCAGTCTCCTCATGCTGTCCTGAGACTGCACCCTGCATATAGGTTGAATTTTGATCCTCAGAAGTTTACAGATCAATGCCACACGTCTTCTCTGAAGGAAGTCCCACTGAGTTAGATGGAAGTTACTTGTGCATCCCTTTACTTGTTCATAAATCATATTGGCCCCAAAGGTTTGTATTTCCCAGTAGATTTGTATAGGTTTGTGTTCTTAGTTGTCTGACTTACATAAGGTCTTCTTCAAATGGGCTTTCTTTTGACAACAGAAAAAGCCAGCATGCACAGGCTATTGCCTGAGCTGTTTATTATGCCTTTCTTTCATTTCCGTTTTATAGTTCTGTCAGTAATTGTATTGCCATCCAAAAGCAACTAACATATTTTAATGCCCTGTCAGTGAAAGGCTAATAAAGCTTACATGCAGCATACATTATGAACTAGAAATTGAATACCTTATGATTTTGAATTTAAACTCTCAAACAAACAATAACAGTTGCATTACCAAAGCATTTTGCTAAGATTTATTAATTGTTCACAATTACTTAAGCATCAACACACATTCCATATTACATTGTGGCTAAAGTGATTAAACCTGATTTATCATATTTTGAAGCCAGTTGTTTTTGTAATCTAGTTCTACAAAGTTTGGCTGGCCATTCTTTTTATTATGATTATTACATTACATTTTTAACATCATTCTGTCCAAGCACATTGGTGTGGTTTAATATACCATAAAGTTAAAGAGCTACATTACATCTTGGTTCTGTAGCCCTTATATAGGGTGACTCACACACACACACACACACTCACAGAGAGACACGGGGGGGGGGGAGGCATGACTAAGGAATCTTTGGATGTAGCACAAAGATGGCCTTCCCAAATTCAGTTGCATTATGGGAGAATGTATACAGCTTCATACGTCTTGTGCGCATGTGACAGTGATGGGCTAGATCAGTGTGAAACTTCACCTGCTCTAATTTTATTGGGCTTTTAATTAGCAGCTTCCTCTGTGAATATAGCAGCAACATAGCTTTGGGGCTCTATAGGCATGCAGCAGCACACTCCCTAAGTTTATGTTCTCCTTGTGTGATAAGTCCCAGTTTGGCACTACAACTGGATGGTGGAGGATACACCAGTAGCTGAAAGCAGCTCCATATTCCAGTAGCTCCCATTTTCCTCTTCTCCACCCACATTCTTCCTTTCCAAGTAGAAACAGAGCGTAATTCTGAAAAGTGACAGCCTGAGTTACAGGCAGAAACAGTAATTGTGGGAATGGGTGACTGGCACTTTGGCAGAAAAATCACAGTATCACCCTTCCTCTCTGTAATTGGCATGCTATGACTGGACTAAAATGCAATTATCTGGAAGGAAAGGCAGTGTCTTATTGAAACTGACTAAGGGGTTAAAATAAGCCAGTTCTGAATAATCAGCATTTCATATGGACAAGTAGAAACTGTGCCACTGCTGGATCATTGTTTATAAGACAACAGGTCAAACAAAATACACTGAGTATAAGTGATGGTTGTAAGTAACGGACCTCTGCAGCATATGGTGTTTGCTTGTGACTCATAGATGTGATGGATCGAAAGAGACAGGAGGTGTTAATAAGGCATGAAAAGTATTAATGCGAAGTGCTGGGGAAAAATCTAGCAGAGTTTTTGTTTTATTTTTCTGATGCAGTTTCTAGGCTGTGATTCAGAATACTTGTATAATTCCAGTACAGAATCCTTCTTTCCAGTTTTTCTGATACTCTTGATACTATTAATGCTATTTCACTTTTATGATAAAAAGCTTGCAAAATTTCATTAGAAATTAGTAAATCATCTACTCTGAGCTAAGGGGAAAATGCAAGCCAACTTTTTTTTTCTCTTGCAAATGTGCAAGGGGGATGACTTTTGTTTGAAGTAGGTAGTTTCCTATGATAGATTATGCCACAATAAATGTGCTACCAGATTCTTTGTTGTCCTTTCCCTTTATCCTAATAGAAAATTGCACAATCAGCTATATATGTTGAAATCTACACTAACAAAAATGTACAATGTACAGTAACATAAATGTCCAATAATCACGGCTTTGCAATGCAGATTTTCATAGCTCACAGTATGTTCATATATAAATCTCATCTATTTTCCCTGATACACAGTATATTCACATACCCCACATGTATTCTAAGCAATTTCATTTCTCCCTGAGTATAGTCTTGTTTGTATTTTAAACAATGTAGAATATATGTCTATGTTCCTATCTTAACCCTGCATGCCATCCTCATGGCTGTAGTACCTCCTCATGTCAATGTAGCCTTGATAGAATTAAATCAACAAGTACAGCATTAAAGCCTTCAAATTGCTTGGGAAACTGCTAGTGAAAAAATGAACTGCAATTATTATAGCCTTCCCACATCCTATCTTCCAATAACTTGCCCTCTTGAGAATCTTAACATTTACTTGCAGCAGGTTCCAGTTGTACACAAGGAGGTAAAGCAGCAAATTGGGGCAGCAGCAAATGCCTCTTCTCAGGTAACATTTGCAACTCATCTGGCAGAAGACATGGTTGTCAACACCTCCACTACAGCCCACCAGCAGTAGAGCTGAGGCTTCCAGTTCCCTTTTCCTGCCGCTTACTGTTAAGCAGCAAAACAAGAGGTACATACAGGAGAAAAGGTGTTCTTACTTAGAACTCTCCTGGCCATCTTAAAGACCAATAATTCCAACTGAGTCACTTCTTACTAAAGGCATGCGTGTAAGTGGTGACCCAACTATGACAGGAGTTGCAGGGTGAAGGCTTCAATCCTCAAAAGATTGGTGATTTTCCTTCACTCCCCCAGTACCATCACCAAATAGATGTGGACATGTTCTACTGTATACAAGGAAATTGCAAGGGAGAGTTATCCAAAGTCAACAAATCTCTAATGGAGACATGTCTCATTAAATGTTTCTCATGTAGTCAGCAATCAATTGAGTGTCTCTGTTACAGAACTAAGGAAACAGAGTCATATAAATTTTAGGTAGAATGTCATCTCTAAACACCATTTATTGACTAGGCTAATGGGAGGGAGAAATCCCATCAAAATTCTTTGCTTAAAGGTCTCCTGTTCAGTGGCCTAGACTTTCTTTATAAAAACATT